CAGATGTGCCCTTCTTGATGAATCCCGTTCTCTAGGGATGAAACCCGACAGTACTTCAGCCGTTACAGTGAGCACGCTCCTGGACTTGGATGGAAGCTCCTTCAGGTATCTGAGATGCGCTCTCAAACTGTGGTGAATGTTCACATTTTAAAAATCGCAGTGAAAGACACAGTGCCACGAACCCCCCCGAAAATCTCCTCCTCACTACAGACACGCTCCCCCCATCATCCTGCCACTTTCCGCAGCAGCTCTGGTGTCCCACTTATGGAGCATCGTTAACTGCACTGTCCTGGTGGCCTCTATGTCCTGAGTCAGTTCAAATGATTTCCTTTTCCTGGTCATCTTGACTTTGGGAAGAGCCAGAAGTCACACAGTGTCGGGAGGGGTGACGAAAGTGGACGTGGACACAGCGTCATTACTCGCCAGCTGCCTGCCCATCCAATGGCGCTCAGCAGCAGCGGTCACCATATGTATTGATCATGCTGCATGAAGACGCTCACGAAAGAGGACTGCAGAGCTGCTGCGGGAAGTGGCAAGAGCAATGGAAGTGAGGCGGAGGATTTTTGAAAGGATCACAGCCACGTGTCCTTTACTGTAACCCACTTTATTTTATTAATATTTTTGAGACAAGGTGCTGCTAGGTGATCCTCCTGCCTCAGCCTCCTGAGTGCTGGGATTACAGGTGTGTGCCACCACACTTGGCCTAGTGTGATCCATTTTATTAATTTATTTTATTCTATTTGTTTACTTTTTTTTTTTTTTTTTTTGAGACAAGGCTCACTATGCAGTTCAGGCTGGCTTTGAGCTCGCTGTAACTTGGGCTGGTCTTGAACTCACAATCATCTTCTTGCTTCAGCCTCCCAAATACTAGGTTTACAGATGCACACCACCACATCCAGCTTGTGTGACCAATTTTAAAATTTAAACACTCATTGCCTTTTTTAGTCGTTCCTATATTGAATAGTCTTTATGGGCTACAGGATGTAGAGTCCATTGAAGCTGGAGATTGATCACATGTGTGGCCAGCCCTGAAACCACAGAGAGCTCAAAACAAGCCAGGTAAGCAAGCTGTTTCAGCTCCAAGCAGGCAAGGGGCCCAGGCCAGCCAGGCAGACAAGGTGCTAGGCAGTGGGCTGAAATTGACATCCTCCTCCTGCGTGTGTAAATGAACATCCCGCAGGGGCTGGGCAGTTCCTTCCCTCCCATCAGGAGAGATCCCAGCTTTGTCTCTCCTATATTTTCTCATCCTTTCTGGGTTTCTCACTCGGGAAGCTCTAGAGCTGCAGCTGGTCCTAGCACAGGACATGTACTGGCACATTCCTGCTCTTGGTGGGAGCTGCTCCAGATGGACTGCATGCTTAGCATTCCTGAGGCCCTGGTGTCAGTCAGCTCTCCTACTGCTGGAACAGAACACCTGACACCCACTACCTAAGGGAGGACAGGCTTAACTGTTCCCTGTCCAGAGGGCTCTGTGCATCGCTGGCAGGCTCCAGGTGAGAACCTTGGCTGAGGGGCTGAGGACTGAGCTGCTTAGTTCATCCTGGCCAGGAAGCAGAGCAGCACCCAAAGGGCTCAGCACCTAAAGGTCTGAGCTTCTGTCACTCACAGATACACACCGTCCCCAAACAGTAACGACACAGACAGATCAGAAGGTGAGATGAATGTCCCAGAATCTGAAGTCCCCCTTTTAAAGTTTAATAGAGCCTATGGATTCCTCTTTAGAATATGCTTTTATGTATGTATGTATGTATTTATTTATTTATTTACTTGGTCTTTTTCATTTTTATCGGTACCAGGGATCGAACTCACAACGGCCTGCTTGCAAAGCAGGTACTTATGCCGCTGAGCTAAATCCCCAGCCCCTAGAATATGCTTTTAAATTCAAGAAGTAAAATCTCTTGAGCCGGGTGTGGTGGCTCACGCCTGTAATTCCAGCACTCGGGAGGCTGAGGCGGGAGGATCATTGTGAGTTCGAGACCAGCCAGAGCTACAAAGTGAGTTCAAGGCCAGCCTGAACTGCATACCAAGACCCTGTCTCAGAAAGACAAAAAAAAAAAAAAAAAAAAAAAAAAAAAAAGTGAAATCTCTGGCCAGGCATGGTGGCATACACCTATAATCTCAGTACTCTGGAAGGCTGAGGCAGGAGAATCACCAAGTTTAAGTACACTCTAGGGAATTTAGTAACTTAGCAAGACCCTATCTCGAAATGAAAAATAAAAAATAAAAAAGGGCTGGGGATGTAGCACAGTGTGAAGGCCTTGGTTCAACCCCCAGCACTGCCAAAAGAAAGGGGGTATGGTCTTATCTTTGGGGTTCTTCCTGTGAAGATGCCCATGTCACACCCAGCTTGGCAGGAGCAGAGACGGAGGAGCCCCAGGGAACCCTCCCTCTCAGCCTCGGGGCTCCATCAGGAAGGGCCTGGCTGCTGAGGGCCATCAAGCTTGGCGTCCACTCACCTACCCCACCAGCTTTGGTCACCATCCGTGGGACACCTTCCTGGCCCCCTACCACACCAGGCACGGCTACCAGGATCCTGTAGTCTGAGCAAATCAAACAACTCAAATTACTTAGGAAACAGAAACTCATACTTCAAAGCCTGACTTGCCTATTTCAAATGTTCTGTAATCGTGTGTGCTCAGTGCTGGTGACTGAACTCAGGGCTTTTGCAATGAGGTGCTACCACCACCCACCGCCCCCACTCCGCCCTTTATTTTTAGTACCAGGAATCGAACTCAGGACCTCACATTTGTCAGGCAGGTGCTTGTGCCACTGAGCTATACCCCTGACCCCTTTAACTTTTTATTTTTGGAGGCAGGATCTTGCTCAGGCCTGGCTTCAACTTACTATTCTCCTGCCTCAGCCTCCCAGAGATACGGAATTGGACACATGTACTGCCACACCTGGCTGGAATCTTACACTTCTAAGCAGAGAGGTGTTGAAGGTTTTTTCTTTTTTCTACTCCACCGGGCTGGTAGTGTCACTCAGCGGAAGGGCACTTGTCCAACTCACTCCAGGTCCTGCACCACCAGAAAAAAAAAGGTTATACAGTATCAATTTCTCAGTGGTGCAAAATTTTGTAACATAAAGAGGCATGCTAGAAGGTTTGGCAGTCTGAAGGCATGCATAATTAATGTTAGTTAAACTAGGAGTGGTGGCACATGCCTATAATCCCTGCATTTGGAGGCTGAGGCAGGAGGTATACCATGAGTTCAAGGTCAGCCTGGGCTACACAGTGGGACCCTGTCTCCAAATCCCAAAATCATGATTTAAGAAACAAGGCAATACAGTCATTTTTGTTTTATAAAAATGGCCAGTTCAGCTGGGGATTTAGCTCAGCGGCATAAGCGCCTGCCTTGCAAGCAGGCAGTCGTGAGTTCGATTCCCGGTACCGATAAAAAGGAAAAAGACAAAAAAAAAAAAGGCCAGTTCTGTTCCCTACGTTGCCAGGCGCTAGAGCACGCCCTAGATGCTGGGGTCTATTTGCAGACAGGATCCAAGCACGAAGGCCCAGCTGGCAGTGTGTGCTGGGGGAAGGACTCAAGTGCTGGACAACAGAGCAGCCTGCTGTGGCCAAGCAAGGGAAGGAATGGCCGCTGGGGAGACCCAGGCTGCAGGGGTCAGGACAGTGCTGGGGACACGCTGACACCTCAGAGGGGAGCCAAGGACTACTTTATTGTTTGGTTGGTTAGTTGGTTTTGCTTTTTGAGACAGGCTCTTGCTTTGTGGCCAAGGGGGCCTTGAACACTTCACCCACCTGCCTCAGCCTCCAGACAGTTGGGCCTGAAACATCATCCTAAGCAGGGAGTGTCAGCACTGGGTCAAAGCTTTCAGAAGAGCTGGGCACTGGAAAACCAGTGGGTGGGTGCTGCAAGCTGAAAGGTGACCGCAGATTGCTTCACCCAGGCAGGAGCAGCACACAAACTGCTTCCTAGCAGGACTGAGGAGTTACGGGGCGGTGGCAAGAGGCCAGAACCAGGCCGTGTGGACCCAGGTCGCCTGTACCCAGGGCCTCCAGGCCGAAGGCCGAGGGACCGATGCAGCCCTCAGAGGAGGCGCCGGGGCGGGGGACTGGGGCAGCTTTCTGCAGCCGCGGGCCCGGAGCCACCGCCGGCCTCCTGCTCCTTCCTGTCTGAGTCACTCCCACGGCAGCGCCTCTTCCCGGCGTGGGCGACGAGCCAACGGGCGGCGCCAGGAGGGGGCGGCGGGGCAGGAAGGCGGGCAGGGCGGGCAGGCGCTTCCTGGCCAGCAGGTGCCAGGCCAGCTGCTGCTGCAGGGTGGATCAACAGGATGGCAGCCGGGCGGGCGGGAGGAAGGAAGGAAGGAAGGAGGCCAGAACTGCAGACCGCGCGAGGGCGGGTGGGGTCTTGGGCCGTGGACACCCCACCCCGCCTGCTGACCCAGCCCACGGTGACCCCTGTCCTCGTGCTGCCTGCTGGGGTCAGCCTGGGCGCTGGTGGACTTGCACGGAGTCGTATTTGTAAAAAGCCAACTGCTGGCCGCGCTCGCCCCGCTACTGCTGGAAGCAACTCGGCGTTCAACGCCGCAGCAGGAGGCACAGACCTGAGTCGCCAGGCGGGGCTGAGCAGGGGAGGGGAGTGCATCCCTCCACTCGCTTGCTGAGCCGGTGGTCGGGGCGCCGGGCCAAGGTCCCCGACGGCGTCAGGAGCTGGTGTACACCAGGACCTAAGCCGGCCACGCGGGTTCCTCCCGGCGCGGAGTCGCAGCTCGGCTACCGCAGGAGTCCCGCAGGGCACGGCCGGATCCTCCCGCCTCCATCCCCGCCCCCCCCTGCGGCGCCCTCCTCCCCTTCCCCCAACCGGGCCCGAGGGCGGGGCGCGGGCGTCCCCCGCCAGGTGGCCGCGGGAGTCCCCGGCCGGCGCTGCACACGCTCCGCTGACAGCGCTTCACGCCGCCGGCAGCCGCTGATCACGCGCGGCGCCGTGCACCCATTGGCCGGCGCCTCACACACCTTTGCCGCGGATTGGTCAACCATAGGCCCCGCCCCCTCCCCCGCCCGCGGAGCGGAGCCGCCAGGGCTACCTGAATGGGGCGGGGGCAGACGGCGCGCGGCGCGGCGGGAGCTGAGGGCGTCGAGGCTCCGGCTTGCGGTTCGGTGACGGCCATGCTCAGCTTGGGTGCCGCGCTCCAGCGGGCTGCGGTGAGTACGCGGACCGGTACCGGGATAGGGAGGCCCCGCGGGCTCCCGTTGCCCTCTCCGGAAGAGGCCCTCGTGGTTCCTAAGCACGCTCCGCCTGGGCGGAGGTGCGGGGACGGGGTGGGTTACGGGGTTCTGGGAACTGAGAAGAGGGCACAGTGCAGCAGGCCCCGGGGGAGGTCAGCGTGGACCAGGAGCGTTGTTGGGCTGTCCAGGCGGAGGAAATGGTGGCCCTTGAAAGGGGTACAGGTCGGGTTCCCAAGTGGGACCCGCACCTTTGGGAGGAAAGATGTCGCTGGGGAAGGACGTGTGACGGCACCACGGAATTGGGGGTGCAGGATAGGGTCCAGGGGAGGAGGTGCCCACAGCCGGCCCCGGGAGATGCCCGCGTGGACCAGAGTCCGCCTGGCGAGGAGGGGTACAGATGGAGCCTAGAGCTGGGGCGGGGAGTGCACCGGGGCTTCCGAGATGCCCACGCGGAGTCAGAATACGTCCCTGCAGCTCTGGAGGGCGGGGTGCGGCCGGGCAGGGGTGCGGGATGGACTCCTGGGAGATGCCCGAATGGACTGGGTGGGGGAAGGGTGGCCCACGAGGCTGCAGCCCAGAAACCCCACGCGGGCCGGCAGGTGGCCGCCCGGCGCCCTCGCAGCAGGCGAGTGGGCGGGAGCCGGCGCGAGACGCGGGGGCGGCAGGGCTTCCGCGGGGCGATCCTCCGCGTGGCGCGGCCTCGGGAGTGCCTCGTCCCCGAGTGACCCGGCCGGGCCCGCTAGGGCTAGGCAAGTCGGGCCGCGGTCTGTTCCTAAGGGAACGGGGGCGGGGCGGGAATGCCGGGCGGCCCCGCCCTCGGCCCTGCTCCCCCTTCCCTGCGCCCGGGGCTTGAGGGCGGAGACCCAGGAAGTAGGGGAAAGGTGACGGCGCGGCGGTCCCAGTTCACGTTTCCTGCGCCGCCCGGCAGCCGCTGATCACGCTTTGTTCACATGCCTCGCCCCCGTCCCGCCCCGGACCCGCCCAGCCCACCAGCCAATCAGCGCGCTGGCCGCCGCCCGGCTGGCCAATGGTGGGCCGGGGGCGCGCGGACGTGCTCGCGGGGAGCACAGGCGGTGAGTCACCGCCGCGGGAGGACCCCGCCCCCGGCTGTCTGCCGCTCGCCGCCCGCGCCGCCCCGCTCCGCCACCCGCCGTCTGCCTTGCTCCGCGCCGGCGGCTCCCGCCCTGAGTGCTGCCCGGCAGCTTACGTAAAGTCCCCGGTTATGCAATTGCATTGTTAGCGATTGTTCTGGGAGCCGGGCTCTCCACACGTAGGAACGTGCATTTTTTAAAACGAACGTTGAAAGTACCTTACAATGTAGTGGTTTTTGGTTTTGGGGGTGGTGGTGGTAGTGTTTATTTTTACACACATCTCTGCTTAAACAAGAAATCCAGGTTTAGTTTTGATTTTTTTAAATGGAGCTTGAAGAACTGTAAGTGCGGGTATGAATGACTATTTTTGCCATCAGGCAGTGCTTTTGAAACAGGTTCTATTTTGTCGACTGCAGAGTGTCCAGTTTAGGCTTTTCCAAATTCCAAGTAACATTTTTATGGTTATCTGGTTTTACTGTTGTATTTGCTGGTCATTCTTAGCATAGCAAACCTTTGTGTTAGGTATAAACAGGGTTGGGGTGAGATTTGACTTAAAAGACAGCATGACCATATTCCTCTCCTGTTTCCCTTGACCTCCCTTGGCCATAAATATCCGAGTTGTCAGGAACTTTAAGCTTCCAGGAATCCGACTTGAAAGAGATTCTAAGGATCCTAATTACCCATTGGCTCTTATACCAAAGGAGTGGCCAAAGGTCCTAACTGGAGTCCAGGGCTCTGTCCCCTATACTTACAAGATCTATGGACTCCATGTCCCTTTGTATTAGGAGATCAGAACGTGCATCACCTTACACAGTCTGCCCTAGCAGTAAGGAAAAACAGTCCAGGCCGCACAGTTGCTGATCAGTCCTCCGTTGCCCCAGCTCCTTATTATTTTATTTTGTGGTAAGGTCTGACTTAACTTGTCCATACTGTCCCCCAAATCTGTGATCCTCCTGCTTCTGCCTCCACATTGAGTTTGTGGGCAGCCACCACCATGCCCAGGAAGAGAGCCTTCCTCTTGCTGTTAGCTGCTGCTGTAGGACGGGGACTTCTTTGCAGCCCAGGTTTCTCCAGGCTCAAATGCAGTGAGAGCTCTGGGCTGGTCTCCTTGGGGGAAAGGAGGCTTTCCATTCTGTCTACCTTGTCAGGGCTCCAGCACTCCAGCATACTAGGTGGGCAGGGAAAGATGAGGGAGATTTTACTGCCAGTACTGTGATGTCTGGCTCCCCTATCCATTGGAGCCAGACTTTGTAGGTCTCTGACTTTGGATGGTAAGAAATACACTTCTGAGTGTTCAGTGTTTGTTCATACAGGAGGACAGAATGGAAGTGACTTGTGAAAAGCGCAAGGAGAGAATGCACTCCTGGAAGAGTGACTACGAGGCGGTGGAGGCGCTCATGGCTATGAGCTGCAGCTGGAAGGCAGATTTTAAGAAATACCTGGAAAACAGACCTGTGACGCCAGCATCAGACACCTCTGAGGAGGAGGGCCTGCTGCCCGGGACACCGGACTTCCACACCATCCCCACATTTGTGAGTCTGTCATTTCTCAGCTGAGTGTGGGTTATGAAATCCCTGCTCTGGGACTGAATTGCCAGATTTCTCATGCTGCCGCTCTGTGTGTTTTCTCTTTATAGTGTCTCACCCCGCCCTACAGCCCCTCTGACTTTGAACCCTCTCAAGTGTCAACTCTGATGGCACCAGCGCCATCTGCTGGACATTTCAAGTCATTGTCAGACGCCGCCAAGCCCCACAGTGCTGTACCTTTCAAAGAGGAAGAGAAGAGCCCTGCACTGGCCCTTAGACTTCCCAAGGCGCAGGCAACAAGCGTGATCCGACACACAGCCGATGCCCAGCCCTGCAGCCACCAGCCCTGCCCTGTGAAGACGACCAGCACCCAGAATTACCAGGATGGCTCTTTCCAGAGACTGCCCCACCCGAGTGCCGAGGTCACGAGGAAGACCGTGCCCTGCGCAGCTGTGTTGCCCAGCAGAGCCAAGTGCGAGCAGAATGCACCAGTGGTTGTCAGTGACCAAGTGGCCACCACCCCTTGTAACTCCCCCGTGCCTTCCTTGGACACTGTCCTCCCCAGGGCCCGGCCCGGCTCCACATCCCCGCAGCACCCCGCAGTGGCCTCTCCTCCTGCTGTGTCCACAGTGGGGGGGTCTCCACCACTGCCAGTCATCTGCCAGATGGTCCCCCTGCCTGCGCACAGCCCCATGGTGACCACCGTCGTCCCCAGCGCTCCACCCAGCCAGCCGTCCCCTGTCTGCCCACCTGTGCTGTTCATGGGCACCCAGGTACCCAAGGGCGCCGTCATGTTCGTGGTGCCTCAGCCAGTGGTGCAGAACCCAAAGCCAGCACTGAGCCCACATGGCACCAGACTGTCCCCCATTGCCCCCGCACCTGGGCTCACGCCCTCTGCAGCTAAAGCAGCCCCACAGGTGGACTCCTCCAGGATCCGGAGCCACATCTGTGGGCACCCAGGCTGCGGCAAGACCTACTTCAAAAGTTCCCATCTGAAGGCCCACATGAGAACACACACAGGTACGGTTTGCTGTTCAAATCTCTGGTAAATGTATGGCAGAGGGTGTGGTGAACCAACGTGGGGTGCAGGCCAGTTGTCTTGGTTACTTTTCTCTCATTGCTAGGAAAAAACACCCAAGATCCAAAATTAGGGAAGGATAATCAGCTTGCTCCAAGGCAGGGTGGCACTGCACCAGGGCAAAGCTTCAAGGCGCAGCCAGCAAAACCAACCAGAGCAAAGAGTGGGGGAAGCACAAGCCTCTTCCCTCCCTTGTATTGCACACAGGCCACCCCATCCAGGGCAGGTGTAGCACTCACAAACTGTCCCTGCCTTCCTCCTGCACAAGTGGAGGTTATTTACAAAGTAAGGCCCCCTGCTGAGTCTCTTGGTTAAACTTCATCAACTTCTCAAGTTAATGTAATGTATCAACTATAACACCCGTCATCCCAGCACTCTGGGTGGCTGAGGCAGGAGGATTGCAAGTTGGAGCCCAGCCTGGCAATTAGTGACTTAATGAGACCCAGTCTCAAAGTTTAAAAATGTGGCCATGCACGTAGCTCAGTATGAAGGCTCTGAGTTCAGTCCTCAGTGCCACCAAAACAAATTTTTCATTTGTGTTGTATAGACAGAGCAGACATTTTAGGAAATGACTTTGGCCGTGAGTACAGGGGCGGAGATGGGCTCCTAGGAGAGGAATGCTGGGCCTGGCAGTGGGAAGGCCCAGTCCCCAGGGTGCCCCTGCAGGGTGGGGTGCAGAGGCCAGGCAAGCTGAGTGACGACCGCCCCTCCCTTGCAGGAGAGAAGCCGTTCAGCTGCAGCTGGAAGGGCTGCGAGCGCAGGTTCGCGCGCTCGGACGAACTCTCGAGGCACCGGCGCACGCACACCGGCGAGAAGAAGTTCGCCTGCCCCATGTGCGAGCGGCGCTTCATGCGCAGCGACCACCTGACCAAGCACGCGCGGCGCCACCTGTCTGCCAAGAAGCTCCCGAACTGGCAGATGGAGGTGAGCAAGCTCAGCGACACCCCGCTGCCCCCGACACCCACGCCCGCACAGTGATGCGCCGAGGCGACCCGAAACTCACGACTCACTTTGACTTTGTCACAGCCAGATCGGGACAGGCGCCAAGTCTGCCCTGGTGGGATCCAGAAGCAGGGACCCATCCTGGATATTGTGGCAGGCAGAGCTGTGGCCGCCTGCAGGCCCCAGTGCAGTTGTCACTGCTGTCACACAAAGCACAGCTCCTCTGAGTGATGGGTCCTGTCCAGGTCTCCGGGGGAGGTCTGTCACTCCCGTGCTTAGAGGTGGCACTTGGGGCCAGCCTCTGGAAGCGATCCTCCTGGGCCCGGGTTCTGGAGCGCAGGCGGAGGTGCGGATGAGCCTGGGGCAGTGGCGCCTGATGGTCCGTCCACCACCGTGGGGTCAGGTGCTGACCACGCTGGCGCCGGCACTCAGGCAGAGAGGGCACGGGGCCCTTGGTAACTTGTTGCTTGGACATGGAGCTACGGTTTCCCCACCACTTACTGTTTTGAGAGTTTAACAGATGACTCTGTGTAGGCACTTTACTACGCTTCCCACTTCAGTTTGCCTGCAGTTTCTTGTGTAGATCTGAAAACTGTGTCCCAATGTGTTTGCGGTAGGCTCAGTTACCCGCACTTTGTTTAGGAAACGAACTCTGAAGATAAACACATAAGGTGAAGAAGGGATGTGGAGAATTTTAGGTGACTCCTTGAGAAGGACGGAGCAGAGTGGATGTCATGAGGAAGTGTGGTCGCTGAATTACAAACTCGGTGGCCGTTACTCCTGGGCAGGCAAAGGTCCTGCTGATTCTAATTTCCTAGGAGTTTTTCAGAGACATGGAAGGAGCGAGGCGGAACATTTTTAGAACGTTTGATTTTGTTAGCAGTATTTCTGTTCTGTTTTGTGGTATAGTGGGTGATACAGCAGAAGATACAAGTAAATTCTTTGAAATACATTGTGAAAAATGTCACTATCTGAACATACAAAATTTTGTCTGTATTTTGGGTGTAGATTTTTGACATCAAAACTTGGACCCTTGGAAGAATTTTCTGTTAAAGAAAAAATCCTCATGAGAATTTGCACAGTATTTCTTTTGTTGTACTTGTTGTTTACAATAAAGAATTTCCTTTGCTATACACAGTGGGCTTGTTGCTTTTTTGTTGTTGGGTTTTTGGCTCTCCCTGTAGCGACTTCGGCCTTGAAGTCGCTGAAGTCCTCCTGCCTCAGCCTCCAGAGAGCTGGGGTTACAGGTGGGTGCCATGGTGCAGAAGCAACGCAGTCCTGTTCCTGTCGAAACGTTCTTGGGTACATTTTGATGACTGGAGACTGGACTGACTGGAGCTCTGACTGTTGGCAAAACCTGGTTCAGTGGTAAAGATGCCACACTGATTAGGTGCCCTCGCCCACGACAGCAGGACCTATGAGGCAGGCAGCCCCTTCCTGGGGAGAGCTGCCACCACAGCTGAACCAGCTCAGTGGGGAAACGAGAGACCACTCCACCTCCCATGGGAAGGGCTGGGGAGCCGGGCACAGGGGTACCCGCGTGTAACCCTGCCTTCTAGAGACTGAGAGGAGACTGGCCTGGTCTTACCTAGTAACTCCTAGGCCGGCCTGAACTACAGAGCGAGACACTGTCTCAAAACACAAAATTCTGTGATTGAAATCCCTTTGTGTTCTGAAAACACCAGCAGTGGTTACACTGCTCTAGGTTGGCTCACCGGTGACACCATGATAAGGGGCAGGCTGGTGCCCACAGCCCCACTGACCCGAGTGTCTGCACCACCCATCCACTGAACTCCACTTCTCTGTAGCGGCTGTCAGGAACCCAGGCCACCCTGATGCCTGAGTCCTCGGGTGGTGGTGCCCAGGTGGAGGGGAGGGACGTGTCTTGGCCAGGCCACAGGGACTCAGGCAGCAGAGGGTGCCACTCGGCCGTGGTCCCCCCTCCCGGCTGACACATCAGTGTCAGAGGGCCTGAGGCAGGCACCACAGGTCTGTTGGTGCCATCTTCAGGTAGGGCCCTCAGCACTGTACTGTTTGCTGTCTGACATTCGATAAAACTGCTGGTATTCAGCTGCCAAAAGTGAATATTTTTTTGGATAATGGAAACTTCCAGAAATTGCAAGAATAAAAGTTCCTAAGTGTGTAGCCTTCATTCTACATTTTTTTCTTTTTTCCAGTAGTATTGAGACTGAGTCTATGTAACCCAGGCAGGCCTTGGACTTGGGGGCTATCCTGCCTCAGCCTCCTGAGTGCCCGATTACACATCTGCTCAGCTGCTGTGTTAATTAGGCAGCTCAGTGAGCAGCAGGGATGCAGTACTATCAGGAGAGCAGGGCTCCCAAATCGCACCAGCTTCCCTGGCCAGGCTGCCAGGTCCACTGGCCCAGGTTCCCAAGGGGCCTGGTCTTGTCCTGGAGACAGGTTTTTCTGTTCTGCTGCAGATGCGCTTTGGCTGTGCCCGACCTGAGTCTCAGCACTAGGGATCCGGGCCGTCAGGATCGAGAGAGCTGCCAGGTGCCAAAGCCCCAGTCCTGTGAAGCTGGCCTCTCATGAGGCCGCAGGTACCCGCATGCTATGGAATTTCCCACTGTGAACTCAGTTTTCTTTATGAATATTGAATATTCAAAGAGCAATTTGAAGACTACGCAAATACCCTGTTTATGCTTAACCCTCCCCTCCTAGGGCAGTTATTTCTGGGACTTGCTAATTCCTTCATTATTTATTCACTGAACCTAGAGTGTTTTGAGAGCAGGTCTCAAGGTCTCCCCATGCAGTCCAGGCTGGCCTTGAACTCATTATGTGGCCCATGCTGAATCCCCTGTGATACTCCTGCCTCAGCCTCCTGAGTCCTGGGGCTACATTCCAGAACCACCACGCCCAGCTTCCATTTACTTAGGATTAAATTTCTGAAATCAGTAAGGACTCTTGGCTCTGTGTGTCATTTCTCCAGGTATAATGAGCCCTGGTTTTTGTTTTGTTTTTGGTTTTCCCATAACAGGGCTCGAACTCACGACCTTGTGTTTGCCAGGCAGGCACTTATGCCACTGAGCTAAACCTCCAGCTCGAGCCCTGGTTTTTGTGCTGGGATTGTTACAGGGAGCTGAGTTAGATAGAAATATTTCAGGCAGTCAAACAGGGCTGGGCCCTGGAGGGAGTCAAAGCAGAGGAGCAGATGCCTTGCAACCTTGGAGACAGACACCTCTGCCTGTAGAGAACCATTGGAGATCGATCACACGTGTGGGGCCAAAGCACGGCCAGGCCAGAAAAAACAGCCCAGAACAAGCCAGGTGAACCAGCTGCTCCAGCTCCAAGAAGGCCAGGGGCCCAGGCCAGCCAGGCAGACAAGGTGCTGGGCAGCGGGGTTGGAACTGAGGGTCTTCTCTGCAGGGGTTAAATAGAGGTGCTGCAGCGGGTGAGCAGCTCCTTTCCTCGCATCAGGAGGACGAGGGCTCCAGCTGACCCCAGCTTTGTCTTTTCTTTATTTTTCTCATCCCCTCACTGGTCCTTAACCCCAAGAACCTCAGGAGCCACATCAGATTGAGGCATATGGTGCCAGGGGGTAAGAGCTGAGGGGTCACTTCTCATGTGCAGGGGACTAGGGGGAGAAGGGCATTGGTACAGGTCAGTAGTCACCACTGGAGGGTACTGATATTGGCTTCATCAGGTGTAGAGAGAGGGGCATTGAAACACCTTTATTCTCTAGGGCCAGTTATTAACAGGCTTGGGAGAAACCCCTTCCCCTGAAAAGAAAAACAAACAAACAAACAAACAAAAAAGTTATATTGATTGTATCAGCTGTCTAACTATGGGACAAACTTACCCAAAAGAATCACAAATGTGAGCCGGGCGTGGTGGCTCACGCCTGTAATCCCAACACTCGGGAGGCTGAGGCAGGAGGATCATTGTGAGTTCGAGACCAGCCTGGGCTAAAAAATGAGCTCAAGTCCAGCCTGAACTGCATAGCGAGACCCTGTCTCAAAAAAGACAAAAAAAAAAAAAAAAAAAAACCATCACAAATGTATAGGAAACTGTTTGTTGTATGCTTGATTCTAGTGTTTACATTCCTTCTGTGGATCTGGATGAGACAGGGTCTTAATAACCTTAAGCTTCTTGAGACAGCCACAATGGACCTGGCTCCAGGACTGTTTCAGAATCAGGTCCGAGCAGGAAAAGGTGGCAGCATGACCCCCGCCCTGATAACCCTAACTGAGCCACTACCTGTCCATCCAGCAAAACCTCCCACTCTCCAAAGTGAAGGGGGTGGCATCACTGGGCCACTGGATGTAACTTCAGGACTTCCCCCGAGCAGGGGGTGACGGCTCCTAATGGTTGGGGGTAACATGGCCCTGATTCCTGTTTGCTGATTCCTGTTTACAAAATGCTTTTACAAAAGACAGTTTCAAATAACCAGTATGACAATAACTAACCTTTAAAACTTCTAAAAATTCATCATTTGGCTTTCACGAGCTGGTAACAGGCTGGCTCCAGCTTATCACTGTCTCACTGTGGCTTTGAGGGCATCTTGGTATCTGGTAAGGTAACTTCTCCACTCCATTGTTTTTCAAAGTTGTTTACTACAAGGGTACTTGTTTCAAATTTGTGACTAATGTAACCATGTTTATTTAGGTCCTTTCCGCTTTAAGTCAGTTTTAGTTTTCAATACACTGACACTACACAGATTGCTAAATTTCTTGAGTTTGTCTCCAGAGGAAGAAACTGTAAATTTACATACTCGGGAGGAAACTGAAAAGCAGTTTAAAAACAAGACTAGGGAAAAACAAACCCAACACAAATCAGCGGGCCTGTACAGATTTTAAAGGGTTATTTAGTAAACCCGCTGCTTCCTGCTACTCTCACCGCTTCTCACAGGCCCCAGGCAGGGAAGGGCACCGAGCCTCCACTGAGCCTGGAGTCTGGCCCAGACAAGGAAGGTAAAGAAACAATGTTGCTGGTTTCAGCTGCAAGGAGAAATCAGGGTTATGGTTCATTCTACTCAAAACAGTTCAAATCTCCCTAGATTATTGTACTGCTCAATTGGTTATTCTTCCCTTGACAGAAATTGGAAAACCTATAAATAAAGGGTACACGATCATTTTGGATCTTCTGATACTTATTAGAGAGAGGTGGGACACGGCTCTGGCCTGCCCAAGCCACCCTGGTTTTTCCATCACCTGTGCACACGCTTTATGCATCAAAAGTTTACCCGCACTGGTGCTCAGACCCCCAGCAACAGCAGGCCTCCCCCCCCAGAGCAGGAGCACCACCTGCATGGCACAGGAGAGCCCGGGGTACCTAAATACAGAATGCAGTTTCCACTTCTCTATACCTTACCACAAAAAGTGTCTGTGATCTTCAGGTCTAAAAGTAAGCGAAATGTGCTCACAATTTAAATTTAAAAAAAAAAAAAAGGGGGAGAGTTCACCTCATAATAGATTTCACTTGACAGTATACACCATTTAAAATATTTAAATTCCATTACTCCACAGCAATCAAATAAAGGCTAAAAAGTCCATTGGAAAGATCTTCATACCAGACAATAAAAACACCCAGCTGTCTTACTATGCAGTGCTAATGTGGGGTCGAGGGTATGCTTGTGTTTTTCCAGGAAAAGCTAAATGACCTATTTCGGTGCCAGTGTGCGCTGTCCAGCTGTATCACGGGCCCAAACCCAGGAAAGGAGTTGATTCCACCTCTCAAGAAGCTGATGCTCAGTCAGTCCTATGACAGTGATGCCTTGGAGACGAGGCCACAGCCCATGGAAAAGGAGGAAGCTACAACCAGCCTTAATTGACTCAAGATGCCCAGGAGATGGTAACCAAAAGTAAAAAAGGTCCAAATAGATGATAGAGTACATGCTAAGTCCTATAACAAAAATATGTTAATCATAGATAAGATTTTGTCTTTTTCAAATTCTTTGATGAAGATCTCTGCTAACTGACCTACAACAAATCTGACTAGCCTATTTAAAATTATAAGATCTACAATTGTAAAAATTTTGTGTAATTTAATTTGGCTAAAATATATTTGAGTGCACTCTGATTGTGAAAGATGTTTGTAAATCTGTCTGTGTAACTGTTTGTCTGTTTGTTCAGTCTGTTAAGCTGTTGCTGGAAGTCACTGAGCTAGTGATCAC